TTTTGAATGAACCAGCTGGAATAAAAGTAACGTTCCTATCTTTAAAACAATCGAAACGAAGGGCTCCGCCAATGTTCAGTGAAGAATTATTTGATAAATTCTCGACTTAATAGGATAAATACAGAATGGCCTTAAGTATATCTCAACTAATTTCGTTTGATTTTGCCTAGCTATGTCAATTTTCACCATTGCCGGTTTGAGAATGACATCAGAAGGCTCTCCTAAAGGATATTCTCGAAACGGAGGCAAGTCCCACAAGCATCTCTCTTACAATGATAATCCCAATGCGTCAAGTGATAGTTCAACCACGACAATCTCCTCTACCTCTTCAAATACCTCAATTTCTTCTCACGGACCCCCAGGATCTCAGGTCGGCAATAGACCGACTACCTCTTTGGACGATGAACGTGGACACAAGGAACCCTTCCCCCCACATCCAGCTTCCTCTCAGTGTTCGAGCACTATTCACCCGCCTGCTCCACCAATATGGCCTCCTTATCCACTCTACCCACCTCATTCTCACTTGAATATACCCCCTCCACCCGCTTCTCAAACATCTCAGGCCTCTCAAACGTCCACAGATGTTGGACAACCATTCTATCCGTTCTATTGTCTTCCCGCTGCTTACATGCAGCCGCCTGCTTCCTCGACTGGTGGTACAACCCAACAACAGCCACCGAATTTCATTCCCTTTCCAATAAGACCCATGATGGCACCGTGCATTCCGGCTTATCCTATGCCTTCTAGTGCTACTGGATCAGTGGACAATTCAGCGGTGGAGGCAATGGGTTTGACGCATAAATCTATGCCACCGATGAGCTTTCCACCTACTTCTCCTGATGTGGTTTGGATGGTTCCATGGATTGTAAGTCTTTTAAAGATGCGTTTTAAATATCTGCGCGAAAATATGGTTGGTTTCGCTCTTTGAGTATTTCTAAGTGGTACTTGTTCGCCTGTCGGTTGCATAGTATTTTTGAGATTAATACTTTAGATGCTTGATCCCTTGTAACGTTGGTTCAAAATGAGATTTCAGAAGAAAAAAACGCGGTTCGGATTGTAATTGAAAAGATCTTTGTACCCAGCCTTAAATTCCACTATAGCATAATTAATCAGGAATCAAATCATAATTGAAAAGCGATATCAAGAGCTTGGAGCAAGCAAATTACCTATTTCTTTCCCAAATAAAGAATTACACAGATGAAACTGATGTTTGAACTTATTTATCTATGAATTCTGAGGTTAAATATAATTATTGAAATTAGCATTATCTGCAGTGAAAATAGCGGTGCCGAAAACCCCAGAGACTTGGGTACCATTTCCCTTCATGTCATATATTTGTGCATATCTAAAACTGAAGGTAGAGTATCAATCCCGACTCTATACTGGCGCCCATTCTTGAATCTATTGCATATTCTCTTAGGTCATCTGTATGTGAATGATCATACGCCTAACTATTAAGCCTATTTCACGGCGTCTTCCAACACCTATTCCAGATGATGGGGTAGCATCAAGGAGCCTTCCTAGTGAGAAACTCGAATGTCGTCATCCAGCTTCCGTATTCGGCTCACTGCGTGTTGGCATTTGATGAACCCTAGAACCCACGACCTCCAAATTCAAAGAAAAGCCTGTAAACTTCCTGAGAATCCCTTAATTATTCATCTAATTTGAAGATAGGGCTTAAAATCCGCCGTTAAGGCCTTCGTTCATTTTATGTTGGATCGATGATGGAGGAAGCTAAAGTGAGATAGTAAAAAAATGTGTACAAGGCCTTTAAATGCTCGACATTCTACGAATAACTTACACTAGAGAGATTTAAAATATGTTTTATGTGAAAAAATAACTTGTCAAAATACTGGCGCATTTTGTTTCAGGAGAACGGTGTGTTTACTAGCATGCTCAAAATGTCATTTTCTCTAACGAACGAGTAGGTTCAATCGATAAAAACGCGCTCGTACGCAGCAGTTTGCCCCGATAGCTCTTTAATCATTTGCTAAATACCGCCGAAGCCAGGGTGGAGGGATGAGCTGGGAGAGAGAGGGAGGCAGGGAGTGAGGAAGAAATTTGCTCCGATAGTGCTCTCGTCATTAAACGCAAGCTCGAAGGGTTTTAATTTTATTCCATACCATGCACTCCACGTCGTCATCACGATCTTATCTGTCCCAAACCCAACACTCTCCCTCTCTCCCCCCTCTCTCCTAGCAATTTCGCTTTGGAGGGAAAGTGGTATCAACGCCAGAAAACAACTCTTTTTATCTCCGAATTGCGTATTATTTCAATTTATTATCACTTCGGCTTCTAACATTTTGTAATTACTCCATTTTGGACACGATTGCACGGTTTTTTATGACCTCCAATTGCTCTTCAGGTGACCTGTAGCTCAAACAACTGTTCTTTTGCTAAGAAATAAATGTATTTGTATGCAATTTGATATGAGATAAATAATCTGACTGTCAAGTTCAGCGCCATTTGTGTGGCAATAATTATTTCTAAAGTGGGCTTATAGTATCCAGGTGTGTTGGCCTAGAAATCCAAAAGCCAATGATTCAATGCTCAAAATGAATGGAGCTTAAGAGTTTGAATCTACTTGACTAGGCTTCATCGCAGAGTACTTCGAGTATTGATTATAAATCACGTTGAATCTGTATGAGCTATTTTGTGGACTGTTCAACTCTCGGCGCAGAAAACCCCTTGGGCAACCCCATGTGCCAATGGCTTATACAACATTAATTTAATTTGCCAAGGTTATATTAAAAGGAGAAAATATTCTCAGAAAATAGTTGTGGTACCAAAGAATGCGAAATTGAGATTTTTCATGCAGTTTTTACTGAACCCGTCAAAATCAACACCTTAGTGATGAATTAAGTGGCTTTAATATTTTCACTCGTTGCTTCTTGCTGAAACGAATTTACTTGAACTGTATCAAGGAAAGATATTTAAAATGCCTGTTTTTTATAAAAATAAACATAACTTAAAAAATTAGCCGTAAATAAGCTTGTGTTCAGACCCATCATTAATTGGCTTCCCAAGGACAGATTTGTTGTTTTCTACGAAAGTGTGGAGAGTTTTGTTTGCGTTGGGTTGATGGTTTTAGCGCTTAAAGCATTTCCTTTTCGTTAGGCCGATCACCTGATCTTTTAAATGTGCAAAAATGGAAGGACTTTAGCCACTTGTATGCTAGTTTCTTGAGCTCTTTATTATTATATCAAATGACAGGCGTTTTGACGGTCATCATTGGCCCTTTAGTTGACTTCAGGCTTCACAGAGGGAAGGAACAGGCAAAGTGAGAA